TTTGAGACCCGCCTGGGCAACTTGGTGAGACCTTATCTCTACAATAAATCAAAAAATTAGCTGGGTGTAGTAGCGTGCGCCTGTAGTTCCAGCTACTTGGAAGGCTGAGGCGGAAGGATGGCCGGAGCCCAGCAGGTCGAGGCTGCGGTGGCCGGGAGCAGCCACTGCACTCCAGTCTGGGCGACAGAGTGAGACCCCAACTCAAAAAGAAAAAAAAAGAAATGAAGTTGAAGTATCTTGATGTGCATGTCGACTAATATTTTTGGCATAAATCAGATTTTTAGTTATGAATACCTTATTTAACTAATGATGAGTGTAATGATTTTAATTTATATACAATATGTATTATAATCTGTTATAATTTAGTGTAATGAAAAATTGTGTCAAATATTTATAGCAATTGTGATCAGAAGATAAATCAGAATTGCCTAATAAAAGAAGCAACAAAGGTCTTCACTCATTTATCTTGAATCTCCACTAGGCTATTTTTTTTTCAATCTCAGACCGTTTCATTCCATTTGAATAACTAGTACTTTTGAGCTTCTTATAAGAATTATCACTGTGATGATATCAAAGAAAAATAACTTCATTGAATGAGAAGCTTGGTCCTAACTAAAATAGTATAAGAAACTGATGGTTATAGAAACAGAAATTGTTTAGATAAAACTCTGCTACAAATATATGGCTAATAAGAAACAAAAAGGCTAGATAAATGACCAACTAGAAGTGAGTATAACAAACTTTTGAAAGGATACATAATACTAAAGTAGGACAATTTCTCGTAGGCTTTTATTCAATGCCCAAGGAATGATTTTTCAAACACTAAGATTAATCCTGTGAAGGGTTAACACATCATCTAAGGGGCAGGAGCTCAGCTCCAGAGAGACTATATCCATTCAGATTTGAAAGCAATCTTAAACTGACAACAGATAAGACACAGACACACTGCCATTCTTTAATTCAAAATTACATCTCACAGTGAAGCCATCCTTTTCCTTCTTATACTGGCTTAAGAGAGACATGCATAAGTGACTAACAAAAAGTACAGGTTTAAGGAGATATCTAAGTTTATATTCTGTCCCTGGGAATTGATGACTTTCCCCCCACTTAGCCCCATAGCAGCCTCATCAATTTCTACTTTCTTCTCCTGGTGGCAATACCCCCAATCTAACATGACCCTGTAAGGCAAGTCTGATCTAATGTTATGCCTAATCCATAGATGAACTCCATCTCCCAGAGAAAAATACATCCACGCTCGTAACAGGTATTGCAGTTCAACCACCAGAATGTTGAATGTTCTTACGGAACCTAGCAACTACAGAAACCCATAAGAGAGAATTCATGATGTAAAAGCTGTGGACTGTAACCAACAAAAATCCTGAAAATACAGTCAAGCAGACTAGAGGAGGAAAGAGATGAGAGGTATTGTCTAGACAGACCTTTGCTATAACACTTGATTCTCTTTAATAGCCAGTCAAGTTGTCCTGAATGTTCCAACCAAGATTGTTGGAACCAAGCACAGTGATTATAATTAGGTTATTGCTAGATGTTCTATTTCTGCCTGCCAGTAATAAATCGCTAAGCTGATTCTACTTATCATGAAGGTCTTTATGACATGAGAAAACACAGGTTCGTGAAAAACTCATAACGATAAAGCCGGGAGGTTCTGGGTCTCCTTGTAAACTCAGTTTCTTCCTTTATTTATAGATTTATCCTTATCAAAGATAGACAAAAGCATAGATATTGGATCTCTTAACACTAAGCATCTCCCACGGGTGGTTACTGTATAATGGTGCCAAGAACCAGAAGATAGATTGATGGCTGCTCAAAATGACAAGATGCAGTCAGTACTTATGACTCAGCTGGTTCCAGGTCACAAATGGGCATATGTTACCTGAAGCAAAGTGAAAAACAGGTTCAGGTTACTGTTTTACATCTTTTAATTATTTATGGAAATGACAGGAGAGAAAAAAGAGCTAAATGAAACTATAAATAACCCTTTAAACTTCATCTTAGCCAGTTGTTTCAATATCTTCTCTCACACAAACAACTTTAGCAATTAGCAAAATCTAAGTTAAAATAATTTGAGTGTTTCTTTATATTTCTTCCTGATGGAGATGGTGACAAGAGGACACAATGAAAATAATACCAAGATAGATAATATTACATTTAAAAACTAAAAATATATAATAAAAGGTACAGACCCAAAATATATAGATTACCACATTTTGGCTTGTCATTCGTTTCCCCAAATAACAGTTCTCACAGCCTCTAATAACTATTGGGCTTAGGAAGAATAATAGAAAAACTGTAGAACTTTACTAAGGTGTTCTGAAAAATGACTTTCTGATACTTTTTTAAAAAAAGAACTCTTTAATTTGAAATCTTTGAGGTTGAAATTAAATTGAAGTGTTAAAATTGAAGTATTAAAACAGTTATGAATAAATGCTAATGAATTCCTTCTGTTTCTTTAAAGAAATAGAAATCGCATTAATCAATGATAACCTGCAGTAAACTCATCAAAATGCATTTCTAAAGTTAGTAGCACATTATAGTTATATAAAAACCTCCAAGCTGAGCTGTTTCTAAATTATGTAAGTTTCTGGCAAGAACATGCTATATCTTCAACCTACCTGACTCTCCCCCTATTTTTTGTACCCCCTTCCCATTAAAATAATCATGCATAGGTCCACCTACTTTATATGTTAGTAGAGTCAGTTTAAAACAAACCTCAGAGATAACCAAAAAAAGCCAAAAAAGAAGAAAAAAAAAATCCCTTACAGGAGTATCAGACTAGGAACGTGGCCTCATGATCACTTTGATACTTTAAAGTAAGTTGATTAGGTAGCGTAATGGGCCACTGGGTGTATCCAGTAAACTTTTGACTATCTTATTCCTAGTTTTTAAAAAAGTGAACCACTTAGTTTATACTTGGGAATCATTTGTAAATGTGTAATCACTTCTAAGTTTTGCTCTAAGGCTGGTGTGTGTCCTAGTAAATGAGTTTAACCAATTTCACATTTCAGTTCAATAACTCACATTACTAGACTCTTGGAAAATTGAGATACTCATTCTTGTCTTTGAGAAAAACTCTTATTACTGCCAAGTGTGTACCTAACTTATTTTTTAGGACCCAATCTGTCCTGCCTCACTGAATTACTCACTCCTCATTCACAAAACACATACGAGAGAAAAATACCAAATTATGACTCAGGGTAACAAGTTGTCGACACTAAGCTTTTGTTTACAATTCAGGTCCGTCTGTTTATTAAAACAATGCCATATTTTGGGATCATTCTTATTTATCATATGATATCAGATCCTGTATTTCCTTGACTACAGCAAATATATTGAATTTCCACTGTTTAACGTAACCTGGCAAAGATGTTTTACATAAAAATTGTTATTTCTCAAATACAGTCTAAGTATTTTTTTAGCTTTAAGTAATATGAAATATAACTTTCTGTTACCAGCATTGATTATTCATATATGTTAATTATTTACACACACACACACACACACACAAACACACACACACAAACACACACACATATATATAATGTATACCCACCTTATAAAAAATAGACACGAGGAACTTAGGCAAATATAAAATAAGATCAGGAAAGAAAGTTGGAACAAGAGATGAGTTTGTACACAAATTTTAAGCATCAGAGTCTACATAGCTATGACTTTTAAAAATGTGTATTTTAACATTTTGTCCACACATACCATTTTCCTTGCTTGTAGGCACAATGTATATCCAGTATATGGTGTTTCTTTCATTTTTTTCTCCTTTAGCATTTCATTTTTCAAGTGTTTTGTGGAATATACACAATCTTAATAGCGCTTTCTTTTCCCTCAAACTTTGCAGTTTTTTTCTTTTTTAAAGTTGTGGGGGTACAACTCAGGATTAGGTACATAAGTGTATATATACATATTTTCTAAATCAACTTTCCATATGATCCAACAATCTCCCTACTGGAAATATACCCGGAGGCACTCAAATCATTCTACAAAAAATGATACCAGCACATGCTTGTTTGTTGCAGCACTATTCACAGTAGCAAAAACATGGAACTAACTGTACTGCCCATCAAAACTGGACTGAAGAAAAAATGTGGTACATATGTACGATGGGATATTATGCAGCCATAAAGAAGGGCAAACATATGGACTTCACAGCAACTTGGGTAGATTTAGAGACTATTATACCCAGTGATCTCTCACAGAAATAAAGAACAGAGTATCACACGTTCTCACTCATAAGCGAACATTTACCATAATACCATAAGAAAAGGGATTGGCAGTAGCGGGATACAGCTGTGGTGGTGTAAGAGGAGCACAGCATCAATAAGGTATGATGTCCACTTGTATACTGAATCCTGAATTACACCCCACAGTTTTAAGATAAAATATAAAATTTTTAAAAAAGGGTTTTTTCTACAGTCAACATTGCAGGGCTGAGGAGCAGATAAAATAGTCTTGTCCAAGTCAGATAAGATGTTTAACAATTAAAAGATGCCGTGAGCAGAATTAAATAATTCCAAAGACCCAAAGTAATTTTTCTCTTCATAATAACTGCCTTACTCAAATAAGTATTTCCAAGTATGAAGTATTCTATAAAGAAATGTACCAATGAACCAAATTTTCTTTGAGATTTAAAATTACGTTAACATTGGAATTGCCATGGCTTACTAATATCACATTCAGAATAATTTTATATGCTTACATTTTTGTCTCCATCTTTTCCGGTTGTTTCCTTGAGTTTTATCTCAAACTTTTCAGGGATGAGTTTAAGAAAAGATGTGATTTTCTTAACTAATATATTTTATCTCATTTCTTGAATTGTATCTTGGTGACAACTTTGTTTTAATTGACAATGTTTTGCCTTTTTACAAATGAGCCTAGCACGTCTAATCTCATATTGAAAATGCAACAAATGAAATGAAGGATGAGAAAGAATTAAATGACATGTTTTCTTTTTTTTCCTTCCTTTTTAGATGGGAAGGTTGAAGTTACAAAAGAAGGTGTGAAGTTGTGCACCATGGGTCCAGGAAAAGTGTTTGGAGAGTTGGCTATTCTTTACAACTGTACTCGCACAGCGACTGTCAAGAGTAAGACTGTTTTCATGTTTCTCAAATACTTCAATATCTTTATTCCCTAGACCTTTGAGGTGTTGATTCGAATGCCTATTAATTTAATCTTTGGAATTTGATCAATCTATATTTTAAGTTTTTGCATTGCAATACAGTTGGTGTATTTGTTTTCCTACTAAAGGGTGATTATTAACAATCAGTTCTGCATCGTTTATGTTTTATTACCGGCTTATGAAAATTATCTTTTTAATCGAGAATTCTCATAATTAGGATTTTAAAAATCATATCGTTTTACAAGTTAAAATTAAACAGAAGCAGGTCCTTTTTTTCCTCACCTTTATAGCCTGAGGATAATATTTAAGGAATTTTTATATCTGTCTATTTTAAGTTACATTTCCCACATAAATCTCACTTGTTTACTCAGTGGTTTAGAAAAATTAAGAGGAAGAAATGTCCTTCATCTCATTCAAAAATCATTGAGTAAGATATATCCTGAATTCTAAAATGGCGTCTGAGTTTATTTTTGCCTTCAGCTGCTCATCAAGCTGTATATTATAGCATTTTTCTTTTCTACTGATTGAGCTTATTTTAAATAGGGGCAATAAAGCAGCTTGTTTCCCTAATTTTACATGTATGTGTATATATGATTTTTCTAGCAACTTTTGTTGCTTGGGAGAAGCAGCTGCAATACTTAGAAGAAAGAGATTAAAACACATTTTTTCCTTCCTGAGTAAAGATATAATGACTGTATAACAAACAGCTGAATTCAAGAGTCAACAATGTAAGGTCCATTGCATCTTTAAGTAGACGTGTGTATTTCATGTTTGAAAAGTCTTTCTGACACATTTTTCTGTGACTGATTTTAATCACAAATGACTTTGATTAGGTTTTGTGATTTTTAAAAATGCTATTGGCGAGATGGCAAGTACATTGTTAATATCAATTAGTTTTATCTGGATACTATTGGCTACTTTGTATATTGGTGTTTTGCTATCAGAAGTACAACATATGACTGACAACATAGCATTGAAATTGGATTGTAAAGAACTCAATAATGAATGGCTAGCTAGAGTCCCAAAATTGCCTTACATGTCTCGTTAGTGAATCACCTTTTTTATTCATTGGAATCACTGTGATATCAATTGAAGTTGGGACACTTTTAGCATGGGTACTTCTTGGCATTTGAATCTTGATCTCTGAAAGCACAGGGCTCTCAATTGATAGGTACTGACATGCTTTTATTCCATGTGATTGTTTAATTACAAAACTGAAAGAATAATGAGACCCAGTGAACTGTAACTTAATCTGCCACAACTTTATGTCACTTAAAAAGGAACTTAACTGTACAAAAGAATAGTCATAACTTCATTAAGTGAAACAGATTTTCTTATCTTGCTTTATTTTCATGAGAAATATTTTTATTTTAGATGTTTTTTTTAAAAAGAGGCCAGAATAGCACATTTTGGTTAAAATAGGAGTTCTCAGAATTATAAATATCAAATTTTTAAGTTTTAAAATATTTAAAAGTTAAAAATATGTCAGCCTTGTAATCTGCTCATTTAATCGAATTGAAACTACAACATTTGGAAAGGGCAACAATTGGTAATAACATGATAGTTAATCTTATGAGATATATGGACTTTTTGTTAAAGAAATTTAATTTTAAGGAAATTAAATAATCTAGTTAAATTAATTTTACAAGCAAGTCTTTTTCATAAAATGATTTATTTGCTTCACAATGATCAATTTTCTTATTAGTTTTCTATAAAATAGTGATCATTTGCACTAATACTTATTGTACTAATATATGGCAAACTTAAATAGACACTGTGAATCTGATTCAGCAAGAAGAAACTAGGTGTTGAATGCAAATTATAATCCTACAATTTTAGAGTCAGAACGTCCACCATCAGAGGAAATGAGTGATGAAGCAAAGCATGCTCTTCTTTTACGCAGACCCAGAGAGAGTTCGCCAGTGTATCTGTGCATGTGTGTGTTTGTGTGTTTCTTTACAGTGCCTACTTTAGATATGGAGGTTGATTTGAGAAAAGAGCCAAAGATTGATGGTATGCAAATATATCTCTGCATTTACAAGTACAGTTTTTGTGCATGAGTAAGGAATAATATCTGTGAAAAATTGTTTCGTGTGAATGTTGCATAAGAACAATAAAGTATGAATAATGATTGTTTATAGTTGAGGAATTGCTCTCCTCACAAGATTGTACTTGTGACTGTAGGCCTTGAGTGCCATTTTTTTCTTTAATGTTTAAATAAAACCTTCAGGCTGAACACTTTATAAGTCTGATTAGATTTCATTGTGAATGCTACTTTTACAAAATGACTACAGAATATAACCTCCAATGCTGTCTTATTCCTTACATGTGATATAAAGCATGTCTTCAAACTTATTTGGCTTTGCAAGTCCAGTCATTTCTCAGAATTCAAGACTACATTGATTTGTCTATTTCTTCTTAACTATCATCTTGTCAGGGACGACCATTTAAAGTCTCATTAAAAGTGGATTAATCTACTTGGGTGTAAGAGTCTAAATCTGAGAATACTCTTCCTGCACAGCAACTTCTCTGTCCATGTCTTTTTTTTTTTTTTTAAACTTACCTGAGCTGCGACACTCTTAAACACAATATTTCCCACTTTCTTTCATGATTGAAAATGATGATCCAAGCCGGGCTTGGTGGCTCAGCCTGTAATCCCGCGCCTTTGGGAGGCTGAGGTGAGTGGATTGCCTGAGCCCGCGGGTTCGAGACCCGCCTGGGCGGCAAGACCTCATCTCTACAATAAATCAAAAAATCAGCCTGGCGTGGTAGCGCGGGCCTGTAATTCTGGCTATTCGGAAGGCTGAGGTTGAAGGATCACCGGAGCCCAGCAGGTCGAGGCTGTGGTGGCTGGGAGTGGCCACTGCACTCCAGCCTGGGCTACAGAGTGAGACTCTAACTCAAAAAAAAAAAAAAAAAGAAAAGAAAAGAAAAGAAAATGATGATCCATTCTCCATTCTTTTTCTCTAGATCAGCCTGAAAGCTGGAATTTTAATGCGTTGTTAATTTTGTGGTAGTAACTAAACCCTTAGCTGGCATTCAGGAGTTATTCAGTGTACACGAGTTTTTCTTTTTCAAGAGAGCACTCTTTGCAATTGTATAAAGAAAGCCATACATAAATAGGTTTCTGTGACTTCCCCAACTAACGAGTGCGATTGTAACATGTGGTTTTTTTCTTAATTCAAGCTATCAAAAAATAGTTTTTATATAAAGCTTTAGATTGACATATGCTATAAAATATGATTATAGGTGTGTTCCTAGTGATTCAACTGAAAGAAGCACCATGGTACTGTTTGAAGCAAGCTCTTTGTTTTTCTTCTGGGAAAAATTAATTGGCATTCTTTTGAAAATAAATATCTAGCACTGGTTATTATGATAGCACTAGGAGGAAGATCTGATAGCACTAGGAAGAATATTTTTTTTTAAAAAATCAAAACCATAATGTTAAGAAAAGAAAAAAAAATATTTGTATGATGCAGAAGATTTACTCCTGTCTTATAAAATAACACCGTTGATTTTCCTCTGTGGAAACAGGACACAAAATTATATATAAATTAACATAGTACTGGAAACAAAAATCTATCAACTATCCTCAGGTTATTCGTAGCTTAAACGGCCTCAAGTTATATGTATTAACTGTGATATGAAAATGGCTACTTTGTATCTATCCCATCACAAATACTCCCCATGACATGGGGAGGGGAAGACAATCCATTGTTCCGCTGGTTTTTCACAGCACCAATTAATGTCTCCAGTATTATTTGAATTTTTCATATTTTGTCTAAATATTTTAGCATTGTATAGTGAAAGGAGTTTTACTACCCATTTGCAAACCCCACAAGGGGCAGAAATTTCTCACATGTTCATTGAATATCCCTTACTCAATTCCCACACCTGGAGGCAAATCATCATCATGTTTTCCTAAAGTGTCACTCCTAGTTGTGATCCCACTTTTACTGCCCTTGCAGCTCAGGCAATATCAATTTACACTTACCCTGGACCTTGTGTCTTTGGCCTAGTTCTTCAAAATAACAAAAATGGAAAAGTTGAAGTTACTGGAAGCTTAAAAATAGAAAGGAGAACAAATTAGTTTACCTTGAGAGAATCAGTGGCACATACTGAATTTGAGTATTTTTGCCTATACACATTCAATTGAAGTCCTGCTCTTCTTACTTTGAGTTTCCAGAACACAAATCCCCCAAATCTGTATTATTCAAAAATTCTCATGCAAATACATTCCAATGAAAATCCAAGAATGAAAGAGTACTTTATAGAAAACCATCTTGATGTCAAGTCAAGAAGATCACCATAGAAAGTTATCTGCAAAGTATGTCTGCATTGGGTGTGGTGATATTTTATGAAGTTACTTGGGTAAAATATCTGACTAATAATTTCTCCTTAAATTTTTAATAACAAGTATTTAAAAATCCCCCTTTATTAGAACACTCCAGTGCTAACACAAAAGAGCCTAAACAGTCTACAAGAAATCTGACAAATTGATGACTTTAATAACATCTGATTTTAAAAAATGTATGTACATTTTTCTGCCTTAGTTTGAGTACTTCCAAGTTTCCATAGTTAAGCTTTCCTAGGTTATTAGTAAAGAGGAAGTTGGCTAGTTAAGATATTTTTCAAAGTGTCATAGACACTTTAAGCACAAAGTTTAAAAGAAGATCTGGAATTTTCTGTTTATTTTTGTTTTTAAAATCACTTTGAGTCTGTGTAGTGAAATGACTTGTACATCTCCTTGCAGCTCTGTTTCAAGCATTATAGTATTCAATCTGAATCAGAAAATCTGCTGACTGTCAAAAGCTTAAAATGATAAATGGGGAAAAAGAGTAGAGATTTGACTGAATTTTTTTGCTCGAGTACCTGTACATTCTATAACTATAATACCTATGCTGTATATACCACACTTACATATTATACTTTTATTGGTAAAGGAACAAATACATGAATGCCAGT